ATACATTGGATTCACTTGAAATGTGAACTATGAGACATTTTATGTGAAGTGAAGCTCAGGACCAGAAAAAAAAAAAGCAAAGAAAGAAAAAGGTGTGAAAAAGGTCCACTGCCAAGTTAGACCTTTTTCCTTTAGCAGTTGAGTCTCCTCAGTTCCACTCATGCTATTCCAGTGGAGTCATCCTATCCTAAACGTCCCTCCTGCCAAGTTGCTCTTTAACACTACACTGCCAGTCTTCTCCTGATTTTGGCCCTCTCTGACTTTTTGTGAACTTTTATGCTGGTTTGGATTTTCTGAAAGTCTTATATTTGTGCCTTTGTGTCTTTCATCAAGTGTGTAAAAGTCTTACCTGCTATACTGTCAGATATTAGAATTATTTTCTTTTCTTACCCCTTTTCACAACGTCTGGACCTCTCTTTCTCTCTTTATTCTGTCTGAGACCATAGTCCATGAAATAGTGCCACCCGTATTAAAAGGCAATCTCTACCCTAAGTTAAACATCTCTGTAAATGCCCACACACACATGTGTAATAGTGTCTCCAAACCTGTCAAGTTGACATGGAACACTGACTATCACATGATCTTCCCGCCTCAACCTCTGCTGTAGCTACAATTATAACCATATTTTACCCATGCTTCATAAATGCTCGTGTGGAATTTTGTGAATTTGTGAATTAAAAGATGTTATCAATAAAGTAAAAACTAACCCACAGTTCAGAAGAAAATGTTTAGGAAATCACCTGATAAGTGATAAGCATCCAAATGTGTAGATAGCTAAATCACAATACTCATGACAGCTCCATTTAAAAGCAGATGATATGAAAAGACATTTGTCTGTAGAAGGTGTATGAAAGAGCAACAATCATACAAAAACCCACTCAGCCTCACCAATCCTGAGGAAAATACAAATTGAAGCTGCACTGAGGAATCCCTTCACACAATGAGGTTGGCTACTACTGTAAAAGAAGCAGAAAATAACAAATGTAAGCAAAGATGTGGAGAAAGAATGCTTATGCATTGTTGATGAGGAGGTAAAATTAAACAGCCATTGTGAAATCACCTTTAAAAACAACAAACACAATACTCTTATGTAATTTAAAGCAAGGTTTTGAAAAGATTTTTTTTTACTGTCAATGTACATGGTAATATCATTTGCAATAGCTATAATTTAGAGGCAGTCATTTGAACATTATCAGGAGAGTGGATAGACAAAATGTACAATTTCCTTCCTTTACAAGGAAGGAAGTTCTGATATACATGACAACTCAGGTAAGCACCATGGAGAACATTATGCTTAGTGAAATAAACCAGTCACAAAAAAAGAGAAATGAATTCTGTATGCTCCCACTCACACAGAGTAATCAAGATCATAAAGACAAAGAAAAATGTTGGGGAGTTAGGGGAGATTTTTTTTAAGTAAGGTTGTTGTTCAAGACAGTGGTTGGTTTCTCAGATAAAAAGTCTATGTCACTATTGCACTACTGGGTACATCCTACCTGTCAGGTTGGTAGAGCATAGAGCCTCAGTTTGTTGTTGCTGTGGTGTGTGTGTGTGTGTGTGTGTGTGTGTGTGTGTGTGTGTGTGGTGTGTGAGTGTGTATATGCTTATTCAAATGTGTGAGTGAAGTGTGTGCGTAGCACACATGTGGAGGGCAGAGGACAACCTTTGGATATTCGTTATTGCCTTTCCACTTCATTTTATTTATGTATTTACTTGTTTTTTGAAATGTTCATACTGGTTTATAATGTATCTTGATAATACTCATCCTTCAATACCCCCATCCCATCTCCTCACAGGAAATTCTCTTCCCACTGTGTAGCCTTCATTGTGTTGGAAAATTCTATGTAAGCTTCTAGAGTAGAAAGGACATCAATGATCTTATCCGGTGTTGGACCCTGTATGTTCCATTACCAACCTGACAGGCAGGATGTACTTAGTGGGGCAATTGCAGCGTGACCGTTTATCTGAGAAACCAACCACTGTCTTGATTGGATCTAAGACTTGATCCACAAGAGGGAATTCATGCCTGGTACTGTAAACATGGTCAAAATTTATGCCTACTGAAGTCATAGGCCTTAGGGGAGAACCTATTGATAATGGCTAAATGGTCATATTATCAAGCTGCCTTATCAATGTTTAAACCATAGATTTGTGCTGCCCTCAACCTTGGTGGGAGAAACTTCTTATTGCTGTGGTTAGTGATGAGTTCACAGACACATTGCTGTTCAAAGTGCTGAGAATAATGTGACTACGGGTACCCAGCCATAGATGGGACATCACTATCAAATCAATATCAAACCTCTCCTCATCAGGCTCAGAGAATGTCATGGAAGACGGGTTGAAAACACTGAAAGAGTTTGAGGACAAGAGCTATGGATGTTGTGCTCTGGATCTGACATAGCTGCCACATACATGTACTCACAGCCCCTGTGATTGCCTATATAAGATCTGTACAAGGTCATGCCAGAAGAGGGCCTTCCAAGGTCATACACTAGCTGAGCAGCTTTAGGCAATTGATGGCATCTTGTTGAGTGAGAGTCATTGTACTTTGGGGGGTGTGACCACTGACAGGTTTCTCTAAGCCCCCAATAAGTATGGATTACCTCCAAATTTATTCATGTATGGACAACACTGCTTGGGCTCAAGGGGTTAAACAATAAATAAATAATGTTAGCTATTTTTTAAAGTTTAAATTGTCTTAGCATCATTTCATACTAGCACTTTGTCCTTGTCTATGGTCACATTACTCTGACTGCAACTGATCTCAAACTTATCACTTATGTTTAAACCAACTAGATGTTAATATTTTTTTTCTTTTGTGAGTGTGAGTATTCATGCGTGTGTATGAATGGGTACATGTGTGTATGAAGGGACATGCAGGTGTATGTGTATGCATGTATGTGGCAGGAGAACAACCTCATGCTTCATTCCTGATGGACCATCCACCATTTGTCTCTCACTGGCCTTTCTCTACCCCCATCCCCATGCCTTAGGAGTTACAAGCATGTACCACACTCCATCTTTGTTTGCTCACTTGCTTTGTTTTGTTTTTGCCTAATTGAACTCAGGTCCTCAACTTGCAAGGCAAGCACATTACCCACTGAACTGTCTCCTCAGTCATCAGACACTCGTATTTTATATTCTGTGCTTTTAATTTAAACACTTGAAGTCTCTGTACATAAGAGTTTTCTTCCTGGTTGTTATTTGTGATGTATATTTTTGTGAAGCAGTTCACAAAGAAATATGTGACCATTTATTTCCAAGAAATTTATTTTTTATGGATTATTTAAGATGTGCCATTAAGATGGTGTTTGTGGGAATATGTATGTGTGTATTCCTATATCATACATCTCCTACAAGGAATCTCTATCTATGAAAAGAGATCATTTCTACTTAGTGGGATGCCTATAAGAGACAAATGTCATACTGCTGTCCCTACCAGAGCAAGGAAGCTGGGAAGAGGTCCACTTCACCAATCACTAGCCTAACAAAAGAAGAAGAAGAAGAAGAAGAAGAAGAAGAAGAAGAAGAAGAAGAAGAAGAAGAAGAAGACCACTTCTGCAAAACTCTGTAATTTGTACTTCAAGAGTTTGAGCTAATAAGCAAACATACAGTCTTAATTTAAGTTAACACACAGAATCAGAGATGGGGGCATGTAGCCAGAAGTTTTCCTGGTCCCACCCGGCTCGCAGCCACTGAGACCCAAATAAACACACAGATGCTTATAATAATTAAAACTGTTTGGCCTCATGGCTCAAGTTTCTTGCTAGCTAGATCTTACTCTTAAATTAACCCATAATTCTTATTTACATTTAACCACATGTCTTGGTACATTTTCCCAGGTCTGCCTTCACATCTTGCTTCTCCTGACTCAGCCTTCCACTTCCCAGAATTCTCCTCTCTGCTTATCCCACCTACACTATACTTCCTGCCTGGCTCCTGGCCAATCAGAGTTTTATTTATCAATCAATCAGAGCAACACATTTCACAGCATACAGAAAGACATCCCCAGCAGGGGAATATAGTTTAGTTTTTTCTTCTGACAATTCTCTGGATTAGAAAACTTCTCAAGATTACAAAGGACACTTAACCACCACTCACAGCATTGTTGTCCAGGGGAACTTACATTGGAGATAACTGACTTAATAAGTCATTATTGGGACATACATTGATGATGCAGTGAATAAGCAAAGTATTTCTTTCTAGGTTGCAAAGCTACAAAACCTCTTCTACTAATTCTATAGTTAGATCTGGTTGCTGGGTAAGCCGGCTCACCGTCTACCACCCAGGTGTCACTATAGCTAATTATTAAAATGGATCCAACTGCATGGTATTTACCATCTCCATGCCATCTTTATCTCTTCAAACATGCAAAGCGGCATTTAAAAGACCCACTTATTTTCCTACAAAAGGCCCAGAAATTATAAAAATTCTCATTTCTCTGCTGCTGTTACTTCCCACCATTGCTTCTTGTTTTCTGCTAAAAGTAGCTTTAGTCAAATAAGCTCTTTGGTGGATTCAGAAGAACCATGCCTGGCTGTAGATGTAACCAACCTTCTTATTAAATAAGAAACACAGAACCAATACAAAGAAGAAAGCCAAGAGGTCAGAGCTAAGAGCTAAAACCTTACCCTTCCTCCTGCGGTGGTCCTACCTCTCCGAACCAGAGCTACCCCTGTGTTAAAGTCTTTATATAGAGTTCCTGTCCTGCCTTCTCATTGGTTGTAAACCCAACCACATGACCGCCTCCTCACAGCCTGTCTGTATAGGCCTCCAGGTTTTCCATGATTGGTATTGAGATTAAAGGCATGTGGATCCAATAATGACTGTATCCCTGAACACACAGAGACTTACCCAGCTCTGCCTACCAAGTGCTGGGATTACAAGCGTACGCCACCACTGCCCTGCTTTCCTATGGCTTGCTAATAGCTCTGACCCCTGGGCAACTTTATTTATTAAAATACAAATAACATTTTAATACAAATAAAATATCACCATACCTGGCCCAGAACAGAAGGACCACACCTGGCCCAGAGCAGGAGGACCACACTTGGCCCAGACCAGGAGGACCACACCTGGTGCAGAGCAGGAGCTGCAGAGCACAGACCCTCACAGTGCATGACCATCTGTGTCTTCTAAGCTGTCTTGAGCCCTGTCTGGTTCCTCGTGGTCACTGGTTTTCCTTCAAAGATGCTGAATCAGCCTAGGTCAGTGCCACTCAAAGTGTGCCTCTTGAACCAGCCTGTAACAAACAAATAGCAAACTTGTGAGTAGACATCGGATGCTTACTTTGTCACCTACCATTGCTGGATCATTGAGGTTTGAACATGAAGGGCCCCCAGCGGGCTCCTGTCAATACTTGGTCAACAACTGGTATTACTGTTTTGAAAAGTTGTGGCACCCTTAAAAGGTGGAACCTCAATAGAGGTCACTGGGGTCTTGCCTTGAGATTTCACAAACCTGGCCCCACTTCCTGCCCTCTCTCTGCTTCCTGACAACAAATGCAATGTGTCTAGCTAGCTCACACCCCTGATGCCATGCTTTATCTAACACAATCAACTGAATTCCCAACCCCCAAATTTCAGCCAAAGTAAACCCTTACTCGCTTAAGTTGCTTCCTGTCAGGTCACAGCAAAAAGAAAAGTAAGCAATGCAAAAATCTGAGAGCAGAATTAATGAGCAGAATTAATTAATAAAGAAACTGTTTAGGGAGCAAACTCCTGTGCTGAGCGGCATGTGGCAGAAACTCTGGTTGTGAACAGTCAAATCATTTATTGACCTGCAAAAAATCAGAAGCACAAAAATATTTATAAAGAGTAGATCTACGAGTCTGGGGAGATAACTCAATAAAATGTTTGTCCTACACACATGATAGCCTGTGTCCAATCTCCAACAGCCACACACAAAGCCTGCTGTGGCCTTACATTATTGAAATCCCAGAACTGGGGAAGTGAAAACACAGAGGTCTTTACACCATGAATGAACCTGAAGTCCCAGTGAGAGACCGTATCTGCAAATCAAGGTGGGTGCCTACTGAGGAACAATACCAAAGGTTGACCTCCAGCTGCCACACTCAGCAGCACACACACGCATGCACGCATGCGTGCATGCGCACCAACCCATACCTGCATACACAAGTATGCATCTTGACATACAAACACAAAACTAGTTATTCATGCAAGATGATCTTAGAAGTTTTGGCCTGGGCTATTGAGAGTAGCCTGGGAAAGTTTAGTGAATGAAAGTTGGCAAGAAAGACTTCCTGACCTCTATAGAGAGTGTCCTGATTTCTGCATCATAACAACATGCATGAGGGCTACGTGACGGTGGTGGGTCGCAGCTTGGATAACATCCCGTTTCCTTGGAGCCTGCAGAGCACTTTCTTCCATCCAGCAGAGCAGAAACGACTTGCCCTGTGTACGGCACCGATGTCCAAAAGAAAAGCCACAGAGGGACATCTAGTGGCAGTGGGAAGTTACCAATCTGCTCCAAAAGAGTTCAGGCATTCTGCATTGCTCACTGCCCGGGTGCCTTAGATTCATTTCTGGAGCTTTACTGCTCGACCCAGCACATCAGTCCCTGCATTTGAAGGCTGGCAAGCACCGGAGGAAAACAGAGCCATCTCCCCCGCCGAATAAGCCTTATCACCCAAGCCACTGTAGAGCCAAGCAAGGCAGAGTAAGGGCAGAAAGCAGAACTTGCAGAAGTGTGTGCTGAGGAAAGCGTCCAAGGAGAGCACTTCACTGTCCACACAGCTATTTTTATACTCTTTCTAGTAAGATACGTGCAGACACGGCATTTGTCGGCTGCAAACCTCCAGACTGCACGGCACGTTTTAAAGTCAACCCTCCATGTATCCTGACCCGTCAATCAGCCTCCTCAGAGTTCTTCATAAGAACGATGGTGAATCGTGCAGCAGTAATCAAGGCCAAACAGAAGTAGTCACCCCACACGTGGGCAGGCTTCTCCTGGAATTTGCCGGTGAGATGGAAGCTGTTTTAGACCCTGTTGCAGCTGCCTGAACTTGACTCTTCCACAGGAAGACAGACGGAAAATAAGTTAATGAAATACATTATTAGCTATAAAAAATCATAATAAATTTTGTTTAAGAATACTAGTAAGCCAGGTGGTGGTGGCGCACGCCTTTAATCCTAGCACTCAGGAGGCAAAGGTGGGCAGATATCTGTGAGTTCTAGGACAGCCTAGTCTACAGAGCAAGTCAGAAACCTTGTCTCAGAAAAAAAATAGTGAAAGTCTCAACTGATGATTTTGCCATCTCTATGAATCACAAGGTCAAACATTATATATTACAATTCATGTACCTAAAGAGTGCATTTTTAAATATTTATTACATTCTATTTTACTCTGTGTGTGTGTGCCCATCACAGGATCTGTGTGACAGTCAGAGGAGAGGACAACTTGTCTGAGTCAGTTTTCCCCTTTCTACCATGTGGGTCCCTGAGAGAATTCATGTCACCAGGCTTTACTGCAAGGACTTTTACCTGCTAAGCCATTTTTCCAGGCCCTCATGAAGGGAGTTTAAGACATTTGTAACTATAATCTCAAATCTCCCTCCAGCACTCCCATCCTTGCTCCATTTTAAGAACCTAAGAGAATTCTTCACTTTACCCGTTCATGCTGACTGAATCTCTCCTCATCATTGCCATTCACTGTTTTTCTGTTTTGTTTGTTTTGTTTTGGTCTTATTGCACTGCACACTACCCATTAAATTTTTTTTTTCTTTGAAGTTCTTCCTCTCCTCAAAATGAGCTGGAATACAAGAAGAAACTGTTTCTGGAGAGTCCTGCCCCACGTCCTCATGGTCAATGTAGCTTCTGCCTTCTGCTTCTCTGGTGAACAATGGCTCATTTCTAGCTCTCTGGACACAGCTGCTATTGAACCTAATTTCATTCTAGCAAGCCCAGGGCTGAAAAAACCCATGGTCTCTTCTCTCAATATATTTAGTTCTGGCCTGTCTCCCTCTCCTCCCCAATCCATTCCTTCTCTTATCTCTACTGTGTTGTCCACCCCCTCCTACAAACATTGCAGGAAGCAAAGAAATATGGGTGCTGATGCTCAGTTCATTTCCCCTAGTTTTACTGGCTTGAGGACCTACCCTAAGGAATGATGCCACCCACATTCCCAGTGGGTCTTCCTCCTTAGTTGAGCCTTTCTGGAAACTCCCTCCTAGACATACCCACAGGTATTATTCCATGGTGTCGAAGTCTATCAAGCTGGCAATCAAAATTAACTCAGAGGGCCTTTGTAAGGTGGGGCCCTCCAGAGTGGGCTGTGGGAACTGAGACAGATTCGTTTCCTAGTTCTGTCAGAACAGAGGACCACCAACTTGGTGATTTAAAGCAGAAATGTGTTCCCTTTGAGATATGGCAGCCAGAAACCTGAAATCTCATTGTTGACAGGGTTAGTTCTGCCTGAGTTTTAAGAAAGAATCCACTGATGCTTTGTTCTTGTCTTCTGACCATCAAAAACTCTTGCTATTTCCTTGACTTAAGGCTGCCTGACTCTAGCTTGCCTCTTCCTCTACTGTGCCTCTCTGTTAGTCTCTTCCCTTCCTAAGATATACCACTGCATTACAGACAGCCTGGTCCAGTTTCATCTGCAAATCTCTAATCACATCTTCTAAAATTCTAGTTCTCTATAATGTCACATGTATAGATCCCAGGAGTCAGAATTGGATGGATGGCACTTTTTACACAATTCCATGCAGGCACAGCCTCTGTGAGAACTCTCCACCTGCTTACAAAGCCAAGGTCCTTGATGGACCCTGGGAGCATCTTAGATCCTTCTCTTTGTGCACAGAGACCTGAGGTCAATACTGGGTGTCTTTTTCCATCACTCTCCCATTTGTGAGACAATGTCTGTCTCTGCATCTGGAGCTGGCAGATTTGGCTAGACCAACTGGCAAGGAAACCCCAGATATCCCCTGTCTCTGCATCCCCAATGCTGGGATTATAGATGAGTTACTGTACCCAGCTTTTTTATGTCAGTTCTGGGGGCTCATAGTCAGGTTCTTTCATTTCAATGGCAAGTACTTTACCAACTGAGCCCCCCTGTGTTTTGTAAATGAATAATTTACCTATGTTCCACTTGCATACACTCTGATTTGTAAACTTTTGATTCCCAAAGTACATATTCTCCATTTCCTTTGAGTTATTAAAGGCATAACATTAACAGTAAATAAATAAATTAACAAATAAGTAAATATCCAGAGTAGTTCAAGAGAGCCATTGTATGATTGATATACTTCCAAGATATTCACGTGGAAACACACAGAATATTGTATATTACAATATCCACCCAATATGACCTCTACAAACTTAAAGAGAGAAAGAATAGGGACTTGGAAAATGTAAAGCTTTGCTATGCAGAAAAATGCTAATCAAAAGCACCAACGAAAAACAGCTCAAGATTATATAAAACCTTCCTCTATGGGATACAGAATGTTTTATAAATATTAGTTCAACAGACAGCATACAATTCATTTATGTTTAAATAAATTAGAGTCTTAGTTCTTCAAATAATTCATTTGCCTTTCCCCTATATATTTTAACTCCTCCCGCCCCCCACAGAACATTTCTGGCATAAATATAAGTAGAGAGAAACCATTACACTCAGTGTGCCTCTCTCAGGGTCAGCAACTAAGAACTAGTGTATTACCTCGCTTCCTTTGTACTCAGACTCTGTCCCTGGATCCTACCTGTGAACCTTGATGTTCTCACTCATCATATCAGCTGTAAACATTCCAGGGAAGTTTGTGAAGGGGGACCGAGAAAGAATCCAGCCCAATTGCTGATGTGCTCAGTGAGAAGCCCTGAGTTCAATTTCCAGCACCACATTTCCAGGAGTAGTGGTGCTTGCCTGTAATCTCAGTACTCAGTTGGTGGAAGCAGGAGGATCATGAGTTCAAGGTCAGCATTGGTTGTAGACAGCGTACAAGTCCAGTCTGAGTTACTTGAGACACTGCCCCTCAAAACAAATGAAGGTGCTAGAGCTATGGCTTAGCAGTTAAGAATGTTTGCCACACATCCAGGTAACAAGCCAGGCATCTTTCTTGAGTCTGAAACCCCAGCTTTGAAAGGGGTAGAGACAGGAGGATTGCTGGTGCTATCTGGTTCCAGCCTAACATAGCGCAGGCTCAGGGAGAAACCCTGCCTCAAAGGAATGGATGGAGAATGAAAGAGGACACTTGATTCCTTCTTCTGGCCTCTGCCCTTGTGAACAGTCATGCACACCTCTTCCACACTGACAGGAAATACTTAAGTAGTTAATATCAAATTTTCAAAAGTGATACACGTTTCTTTAACATGTATGTTTTGGAATTAGAATTCAGACAACACTCATACCCTGTCCCATTTCTTTTCATCTATAGGATTTTTTTCTGCATAGTTCCCTCTCTCCTCATCCTCTCTCCACAATCTTTTATTGAAGAAATGAACTCCTTCCTAGGCAGTTCTCAGTCTGATCTCTGATTTCATGGTGCTTTGCCTTCATTGTATCTCCTATAAATCCCATATTCAAAAGTAGAGACTTCTAGAGAATTTTCTTGACTTTTTTCTACAATTTTATGGATGATGCTGTGTGCGTTTCTTGGGAATAAATATTTCTAGCTGTCTACTTCTGTTAGCAGTCATTGGTAATCTTTGTTTAGATCCATTATCTCATTAGGTGTTGAAAAGATAAATTATTTCTTCAATTATTAGCTGGTTTACTTCCACAAAGAGACATTTCCCTCTCGTCAACTAGTGGTTATGCTGAGGTTTAATTTATATAGGAAAAGTAAGATAAATTCTTGGAGGGTTTTCAAAAAGAGCAAGATCGCAAACATTCTTCAGGTAAGTCTATATGTGTTTATAGATGTATAGATACATAAATAGATATGTATCTATATCTATGTATGTGTAATTGTGTGTGTGTGTGTGTGTGTGTGTGTGTGTGTGTGTGTGTATTACTAACTACCTGGTTTAAAGAACTTAGTCATGTGACAATTTATTGTCATAAAGCCTATATATTTAACTAGAGTCCTTTTGACATGCCAACAGAAATCTTGAATAGCATTCTTATTTTCTTATATGACATGTCATACTGGTCAATCCTACATTTCTTGCACCTGGCTATTAGCTATTCTTAGTAGATAAATACACCACCACCACACACATGATAAAACACAGTACCAGTTCAAACCAAACCTTCAGTGCCAAACTTAAGAATGTTGAATCCTTTTATTTTTACCTCTTCAAGTTCATTTCTATAATTCATGTGTGTACTGCCTCAAATTCTGATTTTAATAACTCTAGTTTAACCTGTTTTATTTTACTCCACATTGCATATCCCAGTCTCAGAACGGTGTTTCCTCAACTGTCAACGATATTCTTCCTACTTTGTTACTGTTTTCCAAGCCGTTATACTGTAAAGTCTCCTGGGACAGGTCCTTGGTGGGGATTAGATCACCAGCAGGGTTCTCAAGGAGGTATCCTTTCTTTTAATTTTTATTGTTTTATAAGAAGACTGTCTTTATTTATTACTATGTAAAATATGCTTCAGAAGATCGTAGCTTCCCAAGGTGATATTAAGAAATCTCACCTTGTTCTGGCTATTACAAACAATGCTGATATGAACATAGCTGAACAAGTGCTCTTGTGGTGTGGTTGAGCATTCCTTGGGTATATGCCCAAGAGTGGTATAGCTGGATCTTGGGGGAGATGGATTCCCAATTTTCTAAGAAAGCGCCATACTGATTTCCAAAGTGGTTGTACAAGCTTGCATTCCCACCAGCAGTGGAGGAGAGTTCCCCTAGCTCCACATCCTCTCCAGCATAAGCTGTCTTCAGTGTTTTTGATCTTAGCCATTCTGACAGGCATAAGGTGGTATCTCAGAGTTGTTTTGATTTGCATTTCCCTGATGATTAGGGATGTTGAGCAATTCCTTAAATGTTTTTCAGCCATTTGAGTTTCCTCTGTTGAGAATTCTCTGTTTAGTTCTATAGCCCATTTCTTAATTGGACTGTTGGGCATTTTGATGTCTAATTTCTTGAGTTCCTTATATATTCTGGATATCAGTCCTCTGTCAGATGTGGGGTTGGTGAAGACCTTTTCCCATTCTGTAGGCTGTCACTTTGCCTTGTTGACCATATCCTTTGCTCTACAAAATCTTCTCAGTTTCAAGAGGTCCCATTGATTGATTGTTTCTCTCATTGTCTGTGCTACTGTTCTATTTAAGAAGTGATCTCCTATGCCAATGCGTTCAAGACTACGTCTAACTTTCTCTTCTAGCAGGTTCAGAGTAGCTGGATTTATGTTGAGGTCCTTGATCCACTTGGACTTAAGTTTTGTGCACGGTGATAGATATGGATCTATTTGCAGCCTTCTACATGTTGATATCCAGTTACGCCAACACCATTTGTTGAAGATGCTTTCTTTTTTCCATT